TAAATCATATTTCCTAACCGCTGGGCCCCAATGACTCCCCAGACCCCATGAAAAATCCAGAAAAAATGGTTTGCAACTCACCTAAAGCAGCAGCGTAAATCCCAGCACTGAAGGGAGAGCTCTGGCAATGGCAAATCTCCCGGAGAGCCACGGTGCAGCTCCCAAACCCCTGCTGCAAAGCTGGCGGCTGCTTTGGGCCACGCACATCCCCCAGACACATCTGCAAGGCTTTCCCGCAAGCACGGGACACGCACACGGGCACTTACCCGGGTGGCACCGCACACAGAGTCACCCTGGAGCAGATTGGAAATAAGCAGGGGAGCAGCCGAGGAGGAGCAGCAGTGGCCAAGGGGGTTGCTGTTATAACCTGCCCAGCAATTTGGAAGGGAGGGAGAAAGCTGTGGAGCTGCAACGGGACACAGCTGTGCCAGCCACAGCAGCTGTGCCATGAGGTTATCCCTCTAGGAAAAACCAGGGGGGAAAGCTCAGGGCCAGGGCTGAGCCAACAAGTCCCCAGGGCTGGGGTAAAACCCTCTGGCACAGCAGAGCCAAAACCCATGGGGGGAAAAAGCTGAAGTTTTCCTAGGAAACTGTTCCACCCACTCCATCCCTGCCAATAGCAGGAGTATTGAAGGGATGCGATGCTTGCTGTAGGAAAAAAGACATTAGCAGCGCAGAAGGTGTTTGGAGAGAGAGCCGAAACCTCCAGCTCCCGTGTGGGACACGGCTGTGAAGGGTGACACGGGGACAAGCCCCTGCTCTGGCCCATCTCCCTGCAGGAACAGGGACCGCTGCCTCTCTCAGCTGCCGGGATGCCGGGCAGGCTGCAAGAGTCTCCCCATCGCTGAGGGGCTGCTCCTGGGAATGAGCGCTCCCCCGAAGGGACCCAGCACCGAGAGTCAGCAAGAACAAATAACCATATTTAACTCTATCAGCTTTGGGTGAAAACACTCATTTCCCATCACTGCTTTTCCTACTGACTCCATTACCCTCTGTCACGGTTCTTCTGCCATGCCCAAAAGCCGTCCGCAGGCATCTCTCTTGCTGCTCCGCTCCTAATAATGACTTATTAAATCAACATGCGATGGCATACTGTCATTAAATCGACGTGCGATGGCATACTATCATTAAATCGACGTGCGATAGCGTACTGTCATTAAATCGACATGCAATACCAGACTGTCCCTGTCACCACTGTGACAGCCCCAGAGCTGCCAGGGAACGGGGGTCCGCAGGCAGCTGCCTACGGCGCTTGCACGGCAGCCGTGAAAAGGCTGTTCCCATCCCAGCAAGAAACCCGCTGGCCACAACCGCACCAGATTGCAAACTTTGAAGTCTCTCCTATCCCTTTTAAAGCCCAAAAGCCCTCCTGGTCTCTTTGCCTGAATATTTGGGCTGTTGCAGCCTCAGAGACTGAGGGTAAAAAGTGAGCTGTAGTGATGCTAAGTGAAACAAAAGCAACAGACCCTTCCACAGGTGGAAGAGCCTTCCCATGGTAAAAATCAAGAGGGGTTTTCAAAGCACTTGAAAAAGCAGGTATTGCCAAGGGCCAGAGGACTACAGCGTGGCTGTATTTCAAGGAGTGACCTAGTACCTTTTGTGTTTAACCTTTCAAAACACAAGGGGAAAGACTGAATAACTTTATGTCAAAAGAAGTGGTGGTCCCAACGTCACCGTGAGCAACAGAGGTCTGCAGGGGACGATTAGGAGGGAGTAAAGTAGGAAAGAGGAAAATAAGGAGTTACTTGAGGAATTACAACAGCAGCAATTACCACCAAAACTCCTACGAAGTTTCTGTAGGAAGAAAGCACCATTTTCCATGAGCATGGCTTTAACGGCAGCTTCCACGCTCCCCGAGAGCAAAGCCACGTTGTTCCCAGCTCCTACCCCACCCTTCCCTCCATGCAAATGCCACCAATTCCTTTTGCCAGCTTGGATTTGCCACCACAGTCCTCAATAAAGTGGCCCTGGGGACCACTAAATTGTCCCTGCGGACCACTAAAGTGACTCAGCTGGGCACGCATTCCTTCACGACCGCTTGCCCAGGGCAGGAGGAAAGGCAGGGACTGCTCATTCAGAGGGAAGCATGGCCTTTCCCTCCGGCTCCGGCTCCTCCTCTCGCTCGCCTTGTCCTTGAGCACTCCTTATTCCCAGCTGCTATCTGCCAGCCTGCTCCTATCATCAGGTGCCGTCCTTCAGGCCAGCTATAAAGGCACGCCGGGATGCAGGGTGTTCCCGGAGGCAACCCTGCTCCTGCACCATGCTGAGTGCCACCGTCAAGCTGTGCTGCGGCATCGCCCACGACCACCTCCGTCGCCTGCCCGGTAAGCACCGCTCACCTCCCTTCCCAGAAAAAAAGGGTCCTAAAGGAGATGCTAAGCTGCATCTGATGGGTATCTCCTCAGAAGGTGCTCCCTTGGAAATGTCACACCTATGCATCTATCTTCTTCTCGCTTTGTATCACGCTTAGGACAGTCTTGGTCTTAGCTGCAAATGAATTTCCAGTAGAGATGCGGGGCACCACGGCATCTTCCTCGCCCGCACCGTGCTCACCAAAGCCCGCGTGTCTCTCTCCTAGGCTTGAAGGTAACGGCCGTGGCGGCGATACAGAAGGATGTGAGAGGGCTGGTGGTAAGAGGATCCCGTCGCCTGCCTTCCAAAATTCCTCGTTATATTCAGAGGGTGATGGGGAAGGAGTCAGGTAAGCTCAGCCCGGGTGCTGGGGTACCACGTCTCCTAGCCCTGCTCACAGCCCTCCTTGCAACACATGATGGGAGGGTGCCTATTAAAATATAGAATATAAAAATAATATTTTGGGGGACAGAGTTAATTGTCTTCTGACTGCTGGGCTGGTCTCCAGCTCTCTGGTAGCTTAAAAGCGTTCCCCTTACTGATGGTAAACTGGGATAGCAGGGAGAGCCTGAGATTCTGGGAAGGCAAATTGCAGCGGTTCACCGTGCAGGCAGCCAAAGCTTTCAGCAGAGGTTACAGGCACTTATTGGTGTTTTGTTGCACGGCTGCCACGTCTCTAGTTCCACCGCTTACCTGAAGACTGGAAAATTGGTAAATTCAGCTGGTTTTTTGGAGCGTGACTTGGTCCAAAGGCTGCCTGTGCAATGTTAGTAATACCCAAGCGACGTGCAATTTGTACCACAGCGTTACTGGGAATTGATTTGGAAAGCAATTTGGAAAAGCTTTCCAAGTAGTTAGCACAGACACGGCAAATGAATGCCAGGGATGCTCCTGAGAACAAGGATTTTTCTGCCCCAAGCCCAACAAGGGACCAGTTCTGTGGTAAGAGCCAAGACTTTGGGTCACCAAAACCCTCCGCTCCCGCTCCATTTGCACTTCTGGACCCGCAGCCAGGTGCGCAGGCGAAGCTGGGGGTTGGCTTTTCACCTTCCCCTGCCTTGTTCTTGCAGCCGTGTGCCCAGATCCTGACGGAGACATCAGCCCCAGCCGATTCTCCAGCATGGACCTCTCCTACATCACCCAGGGAGAAACAGCCTTGCAGCGAGCGCTGAGCATCCTGCAGCAGCACACCAGCTGGCAGGCAGAAATGATGCTGGTAAAAGCCCGGCCGTCTCTTGCCTTTGCTGCATGCCTGAAAAGCTTGTGGGTGGAGAAATCAGCCTAGGGAGGGGAGATTTCCTTCTCTTATTCCTACCCTGCTTGAAGGGAAACGACGGGCACGGGAGATGTGCCGTGCAAAAGCACGCACGGCAAAGAGGGTTTCCAAGCGAGTCTTGATTAAGCACGTTCGCAAGAAAAATCTTCGAAGTCAATGGACAGCAGGAAAAGGCTTGGAAGGGGAAACTCGGATAATCGTGTTCCCAGGGAAAGCCAGGGCATTTCTGCAAAAAAAAAAACCAAACAACAGATTGCAACTCTGTTGTTATTTAGGGCGTTTGTTCATTAAGGTGTTTCCTGAATTGTTTAACTTAGCTAGAAAGGAACTTAAAAAAACCCAAACCACCCAATTGTAGTGGCATGATTTAGATAAAACACCTTTCGTCTGTAAACCAAGCGGCGATTAAAAAGAAGACTGGGATGATTTATTAGTTAGGCATTTCAGCGCGTAACCGGTGCCTCTGGGGGTATTTGGGGTTGATGGAGACTCTCTCCTCTCCTCTCCCAGGACGCCGGGACTGCTGTATCCAGCGCTGCCTTCCCCGAGCTGGGCAAGGTGTTTCGGGCAGAGGTGGTCCTGGCCGTGCCGGTGGCCTGGCTGCACCGGGAGCTGTTTGAGAGGATCGAGCAAATGCCCCAGTGGAACCCGACCCTCAGCCGGGTGAAGGTAAGGTGGGGAGGGATGCACCGCAGACGGCGAGCGATGCCATCGCCGGCAGATGGTCCAAGGCTTTACAGCAGCAGGGTGGCTAGCATCCAAAAAAAAGAAAAAAATCGTATTTATCAAGGGTGGTTTTTTTTTTAAGATCGCTGAAGGATTAAAGCTAATTCTGCACTCCTGCAAGAGCAGGATATCACCCCAGGGAAAGAAGGCGTGCTTTTCTGGCGTGACATTGAGAAACGTGTTGTTTCCAAGCTCTCTGCTCCACATGGTGCCCCTTCTTGGAGGTTTTTCCACCCTGGGGGACTCCGATATGGCTCAATCTTTAATGTCAGGGGACAAGCTGTTCAGGGGAATCAGACAGCTCAAAAAAAAGAGGCAAAACCAGATACACCATGCTGCAGGGGCACCCCCAGGAAGCTTCCGTGTTGTCTTGGGCTTCTTTGGAGTATTTGCCGTATTTCTCAGCTCCCAAATCACAGCGTATCCCTAAGTAAGCTGCCAGCCTCAGAAAGCCTCCCCTAGCTCTCCTGGGCTGGTTCAGGTGCTACCCAGCCTCTGCTTATTTATCGCTACCACTTCCTTCTCACTTCAGAAACAGGGTCCTATCCCAGATTAAAAAAGGCTGGGGGGAACAAAAAAAAAAATTAAAAATCACCCACTTTCCCCCTTAATAACCTGCAGGGGATTGGGATTTAATTATCACCAGGTGCCAGCCCCAGGCCCCCGCCTTGCTGCTGCTCCTAGCCCACACCGTTGTCCCCAAGGGGGGTTAATGTCCCCTGGGCAGGAGTAAGGGGGTGATGGGGATGTCCCTGGGTGGGGGACACCTACAAGGCTCCTAATGGTGCTCCGTGCGTTGCTAGGTGCTGCGGCGCGTGGGGACGGACACCCTGGTGACACACGAAGTCACCGCTCCCAGCCCGGGCAACTTAGTGGGCCAGCGGGATTTTGTTAGCGTGCGGCACCGAGGGAGGAAGGAGACGGCCATCTACCTGGTGGGCACCGCCACCCACCTCAAGCCGCTGCCCTTGCAGGAGGGGTGCATCAGGTAACCCCCAAAATAACCATCACAGGGTGTCATGTCCCTGCAGGGGGGAAACCACCGCTCCAGCCATGAGCGTTTGCACTGGGCACACCAAGAGCTCCCTCCCTGTGGTGTTTGCTCTGGGATCTCCTTACCTTGGTTTGTTTTGGGGTTCGGTTTTTTTTTCCCCCCTCCCCGGGGCGGACCCTACCTGCTCCCTTGCCCACCGCAGGGCCGAGTCCCGGCTGAGCTGCATCCTCCTGCAGCCGCTGGCACCAGACCCGCTTCACCTGGCTCCTCAGCATGGACCTGAAGGCAAGTGCCACCGTCCCGCTTGGGGTGGGACAGCAAGGGGTACGCATCCCGGCGTGCAAACGCATCCTCCTCCTCGGGATGGGTACCCCAACTCTCTTTGCCCCAGTGGGATCAAATTCGGGGTGTTTTCTCTCCCAAAGGGTTGGATCCCTGTGTCCGTCATTAACCGCATCCTGCCGCAGTCCCAAGCAGACTTCATCGAGCATCTCCGCCGGCACCTCTCTGCCGCTGCGTGCCCCTGAGCTCTGCCCCAACTCGAGGGACGCGGCCAGAGCTGGAGACCCGTTCCTGCCCCTCCTCATTGCCGCCGCGGCCGACAGCGATGGGGTGAGACGATGCACCCGCCGAGGAACCCCCGAGCATGGAGATCACCCTTCACCCACCACCATGCTTCTGCTTCGGGGATGGAGCGGAGCATCTGCAAGCCTGGGGGGGGGATCGAGGCAGCGCTGAGCCTTGAATTAGGGATTTCCTAAAAACCCTTGTCCAAACCTCACCTGTGAGCAGCACGGTGTTCGGCATCGTTCCTCGCCACCGTGCACAGGGGAAAGGGGTGGCTGCCAAAACGCACCCCGACGTTGGGCATGGCTGCCCATGGTGCAGTTTGTTCTGCAGCTTCAGCCCTGCCCCGGTTTCAACCCTCTTTATTTATTCCCTGACCATGGTATCAGTTGTCACTGCAAGCTCAGGAGCTCTTCTTGGTCTGAACCAGTAACACATCTTTATTTATTTTTGCAATGGCTAAGCTATATATTTATGCGTGTGTATATATGCCTATACATCGAGATTTATTTTTTTTTTCTCCTGCAATGCCAACAGTAGCGGGCGCAGGTGTATGGCACTAAAGCCACATCCCAGTGGGTCAGAAATGTGCTTTTTCACCATCAATCCCACTGACTTAGGGTACCACAACGTGCGAGGGGGGTGGCAAAGCAAACGAGAAAGCAGCTAATGGAGACAAGCACAGCAGGTTCAGGCTCAGCCCCACGACCCCGTAACGCAGCATCGTCCCCTCTGGGACCACGCATCCAGGGGAATTTGTCATCGCAGGCTCGCAGCATGATAAAACCCACCGGGGGTGTTGTCCTAGGAGGATCTCCAGGAGATCACCGGCCCCCCCGTGCCCCCAACCCTTGGCAGCAGCAGGGATGGCCGGTCCAGCGATCCCAACATTATCCTGCACCCTGGGAATCGTGAAAAGTTGTTAGAGCCATTGCAGAGTGCCTGTAATTTATACATCCATGGGGTTTGCTGGGTCTTTGTCTTATTTAAGGGGAGGAAGAAAAAAAAACCAACCTCCTCTCAAAACAGCTATCTGAAACTGATAAAGAGGAGTGGCTGGGTTGAAATAAAATAAAGAGGTGGTGGCGCGTGATGTGAAATCCATTTCAACAATGACACACAGGTCACACTCGTATTCTTTCCCCCCTCATGCACCCATTCCCCAAATAAATCACCAGAAAGAGATTTTTGATGTGGATTTTTTTTTTTACATTATGTTAAGTTCAAAAAAAAAAAAAAAGAACCCAACAAAATTAATAAATATTAAAAGTTAAAAAGCTCTGAATCTGGTATGTACAAAACTTTATACATCATCGTAACACTGGACAAGGTTACATTACAGGAATGACTTGGTGTGTCTGCCTGGCCCAGGAGGATGCGGAGACAGGACCAAATCCCCGCTGGGAGCTGGACCACGGCAGCGTCACATCCCCACGCCCACGCATTCGCC